AAACTCAAGTCCAAATGGATTAAAGACCTCAATATCAGTCCGAACACACTGAACCTGATAGAAGAGAAAGTGGGAAGTACCCTACAACAGATGGGCACAGGAGATCGCTTCCTATGTGTAACCCCAGCAGCACAGACATTAAGGGCAACATTGAATAAATGGGACCTACTAAAACTGAGAAGCTTCTGTCAAGCAAAGGACACTGTCACTAAGACATAAAGGCAACCTACTGACTGGGAGAAGATCTTCACCAACCCTGCAACTGACAAAGGTCTGATCTCCAAAATATATAAAGAACTCAAGAAACAATGACTTCTTGAATTTTGCATGCAATAAATACTTTTTAACAACCTAGATGCTCTTCAATGGAAGAATGGATGAAGAAAGTGTTGAATATATACACATTAGAGTACTACGCTGGGTAAAATCAATGACTTCTCGAATTTTGCATGCAATAAATATTTTTTAAAAAAGAAACTAAGTGCCGGGCGGTGGTGGCGCACGCCTTTAATCCCAGCACTCGGGAGGCAGAGGCAGGCGGATCTCTGTGAGTTCGAGACCAGCCTGGTCTACAGAGCTAGTTCCAGGACAGGCTCCAAAGCCACAGAGAAACCCTGTCTCGAAAAACCAAAAAAAAAAAAAAAAAAAAAAAAACTAAGTTCGAGAATTCATTGTTTTTTACCGCAGCGTAGTACTCTAATGTGTATATATTCCACACTTTCTTCATCCATTCTTCCATTGAAGGGCATCTAGGTTGTTTCCAGGTTCTGGCTATTACAAATAATACTGCTATGAACATAGTTGAACAAATGCTCTTGTCATATGATAGGGCATCTCTTGGGTATATTCCCAGGAGTGGTATTGCTGGGTCCAGGGGTAGGTTGATCCCGAATTTCCTGAGAAACCGAAACACTGATTTCCAAAGTGGTTGCACAAGATTGCATTCCCACCAGCAATGGATGAGGGTACCCCTTCCTCCACAGCCTCTCCAGCAAAGGCTATCATTGGAGTTTTTGATTTTAGCCATTCTGACAGGTGTAAGATGATATCTCAAAGTTGTTTTGATTTTCATTTCCCTGATAGCTAAGGAGGTTGAGCATGACCTTAAGTGTCTTTTGGCCGTTTGAACTTCTTCTGTTGAGAATTCTCTGTTCAGTTCAGTGTCCCATTTTTTAATTGGGTTAATTAGCATTTTAAAGTCTAGTTTCCTGAGTTCTCTATATATTTTGGAGATCAGACCTTTGTCTGTTGCGGGGTTGGTGAAGATCTTCTCCCAGTCAGTAGGTTGCCTTTTTGTCTTAGTGACAGTGTCCTTTGCTTGACAGAAGCTTCTCAGTTTTAGTAGGTCCCATTTGTTCAATGTTGCCCTTAATGTCTGTGCTGCTGGGGTTACACATAGGAAGCGATCTCCTGTGCCCATCTGTTGTAGGGTACTTCCCACTTTCTCTTCCTCCAGTTAGTTCCTTGGGCAGCTGAGGATAGGGAACCTGAAAGGACCCTATCCTAGAGCAATACTGACAAATATCTTGCATATCACCATAGAACCTTCATCTGGTGATGGATGGAGATAGAGACAGAGACCCACACTGGAGCACTGGACTGAGCTCCCAAGGTCCCAATGAGGAGCAGAAGGAGGGAGAACATGAGCAAAGAAGTCGGGACCACGAGGGATGCACCTACCCACTGAGACAGTGGGGCTGATCTATTGGGAGCTCACCAAGGCCAGCTGGACTGTGACTGAAAAAGCATGGGATAAAATCGGACTCTGAACATGGTGAACAAGGAGGGCTGATGAGAAGCCAAGGACAATGGCACGGGGTTTTGATCCTACTTAATGTTCTGGCTTTGTGGGAGCCTAGCCAGTTTGGATGTTCACCTTCCTAGATATGGACGGAGTGGGGAGGACCTAGGACTTACCACAGGGCAGGGAACCCTGACTGCTCTTTCTCAAGTTTGAGTGGTGGAGCACACCTTTAACCCCAGCATTCAGGAGGCAGAAACAGAAGATCTCTGTAAGGCTGAGGCCAGCCTGGTTAACATTAGTGAATTCTAGGCATGCCAGAGCTACAGAGTGAAATCTTGTGTGTGTGTGTGTGTGTGTGTGTGTGTGTGTGTGTATAAATACTAAAATTAAAGGCACATACATTTTGAATATGCTCTTCCTACATCTTTGCCATTTTCTTGATACCTAAAAACAAACCTCATCTCTGTCCTGCGGATTCTGACTCCATCATGTACATTTCTGGCAGTGTGAGGTCACTGACAATACTCAAAGTTGAAACACCCTTTACTTTGACATACTCAAAAATTAATACAAATCAGTTTTCGTTAACAAGATGGTCTTGCTCCAAACCCATGTGGTTATTCTAAATTGTTGTTATTATTTGTGCGTGAGCACGACGCACACACCGTGACATGCACTCCACCTTCTCACTAGTGCTGGGGTCCACCTCAGCTTGCCAGGCTGTGCTGGAAGCACTTTTACACACTAAGCCATTGCACCAGCCTCATGCAGCTGTCCTGTTAATTTATCAAATACTGTACTCACAGTAACCACACTCGTACCCAGCCTACGGACTCCGGAATGCAGAGGGAACTGATGTAGTTTGAGAGAGAGAAGTTACCTGCAGCCATGCCCAAGAACTACTCATGTTGGCAGGTAAGTAAACTGCCATAATTGTAATGAGAGCCACCTGAGGGCATAGTCTAATGACTGATAAAGCCATTTTTATCTAAAGGAAGCTTTCTTAAGATAAACAGAGACTTAGAGACATATTTTTGTATAAGTAAAAATTACTTTAAAGATCATGATGGCCGAATGGTGGTGGCGTATACTTTTAAACCCAGCATTTGAGAGGCAGAGGCAGGTGGATCTTTGTGAGTTCAAGACCAGCCTGGTCTACAAGAGCTAGTTCCAGGACAGGCTCCAAAGCTACAGAGAAACCCTGTCTCAGAAAAAAAAAACAAAAAACAAAAAACAAAAAACAAAAAAAGACTATTGTTTATTATTATAAGTAATTGACATATTTTGACAGTTAATAATTCTAAATAAATTAAGTAATACATGAAAAGAAAAAAAAAGAAAGAAAAAGATCATGATGTTTGCAAAGTGATAGTATTTTTAAATTTCTAAAAAAATTAACTCCCATTTTGTTAAGAGAGCAGTAACAGCATGATTGACAGACCTGTTTCCTATACTTTTGCAAATTTGCTTTTTTTTGTGATGTCATCATTCTATTTTATTTTTTTATTTATTTTTTATTTATTTATTAAAGATTTCTGCCTCCTCCCCGCCACTGCCTCCCATTTCTCTCCCCCTCTCCCAATCAAGTACCCCTCCCTCATCAGCTCAAAGAGCAATCAGGGTTCCCTGCCCTGTGGGAAGTCCAAGGACCACCCACCTCCATCCAGGTCTAGTAAGGTGAGCATCCAAACTGTCTAGGCTCCCCCAAAGCCAGTACGTGCAGTAGGATCAAAAACCCATTGTCATTGTTCTTTAGTTCTCAGTAGTCCTCCTTGTCTGCTATGTTCAGCGAGTCCGGTTTTATCCCAGGCTTTTTCAGACCCAGGCCAGCTGACCTTGGTGAGTTCCCAGTAGAACCTCCCCACTGTCTCAGCCTGAGTTCCTTGCTCGTGCTCTCTCTCCTTCTGCTTCTGATTTGGACCTTGAGATTGCTTTTATATCTCCTTTTGTAGATCTATTTTCATCTTTTGCATATTGCAAACCTATTAGTAATCAAGAGTTCACATTTTCTTTTGCAAATGCACCTACAAGTAAAACTGAGAGGTAATCATATGTAAGGAAAGCTAAAGCACCGATGTATCAGTTCAGTCAGGCACAGTGACACCTTGTATGAAAAGAATAATAAGAAAATTGAAGACACATTTTGCATATGATTTTGCATCTTCCTACACCCTTTGTTCTCTTCCTTGACACTGGAAAGCAAACATTTTCTCTGTCAAAGGCACATGTTTCTGGGTGTTCAGTCTCTGCCTCGCTGTGTGTACACATGTGATTCAGAGCTTCAGGATCTGCCTGTCTCCACTGCAACACTGGGGTCCAAGACGCTGGAGGTGCAGATTCACGTTTTTATGCTTGCAGAGCACTTTACCGAGTCATCTCTCCAGAGAGCTTCCCTGCAGGCTAGTTTAGTTTTCTTCCCCCTTCTTTTCTTTCGTCCTTCCTTCCTTCCTTCCTTCCTCCCTCCCTCCCTCCTTCCCTTTTCTCTTTTTCTTCCTCTTTGAGAGAGGTTCTCACTATGTATCCCTGGCTGGTCTCAAACTTACTAAGTTCCTTCAGCCTCTGCCTCTTGGGTGCTGGAAGCTCCTGCTTCTGAATGTGAGTCCTAAAAGATTCTTTTTTTTTCTTTTCCTTCTTTTTTTTTTAAATTTATTTATTTATTAAGGATTTCTGCCTCCTCCCCGCAACCGCTTCCCATTTCCCTCCCCCTCCCCCGATCAAGTCCCCCTCCCTCATCTGCTCAAAGAGCAATCAGGGTTCCCTGACCTGTGGGAAGCCCAAGGACTGCCCACCTCTATCCAGGTCTTGTAAGGTGAGCATCCAAACTGCCGAGGCTCCCCCAAAGCCAGTACGTGCAGTAGGATCAAAAACCCATTGCCATTGTTCTTGAGTTCTCAGTAGTCCTCCTTGTCCGCTATCTAACAGATTCTATTTTCACATATGAAGCAAATTTTTGTTGGCCACCTAGTATACACTAAGTAATATGCTGGTCCTGGAAATATGATTAGGAATAAAACAGAAAAACAGACATGGTCCTACTCACAATGGAGGTCACAACACTATTTTATAAAGAAAAAATCCAAATACATAGTTCAAAATTATAATAAGCCCCATAAAAGAAAACGTATAGGGTGTTATGAAATACCCATAGAATAAGGAGGATGAGGAGGACTGAAGCAGGGAAAGAAGTAGATAATGGAACTAGAAGACGAACTGAGCAAAGGTAAGGAACGGCATCTGCTAGGGGAAAGAGTCTGACCTGCTGGGTGATGGTGTCCCACGGCCCCTGCAGCAGTCGTGTCTTGTAGCACTCGTGGACTCCTTCCCATATATCCTCCAGAGCTAAAGGTCTCCCGTCTGTGAAGGGACATCATGAAACACCCATGTGAGCGACCCATGAAACACGACAGTGCGTCTGTGAAGGGACATCATGAAACACCCATGTGAGCGACCCGTGAAACACGACAGTGCGTCTGTGAAGGGACATCATGAAACACCCATGTTTCCCATATATCCTCCAGAGCTAAAGGTCTCCCGTCTGTGAAGGGACATCATGAAACACCCATGTGAGCGACCCATGAAACACGACAGTGCGTCTGTGAAGGGACATCATGAAACACCCATGTTTCCCATATATCCTCCAGAGCTAAAGGTCTCCCATCTGTGAAGGGACATCACGAAACACCCATGTGAGCGACCCGTGAAACACGACAGTGCGTGGTGTTGCTCAAAAGCACTGACTAATCTGACTCCCTGAAAAATCTCTACGGGTTTACACACACTTGCATATCAGACTTCTGTGTAAACTGCTATTCACCTACTGGGGGAAGAATAAATGTCCAAGCTTCTCTCCTTTGTATTCACACAGCAACTAAGATTCTGTCTCTTTATTACCTTTGGGAAATTTACAAAATCAATAAAAGCTGAACATGTTTCAGAGATAAGTGACAGATACGAGCAGAAAGGAAAGGCCAGGAAACTGACACTTTTATTGCTATAAGTCTGCTATGGATGCTGTTGGAGTCCTCTGGTCCTCGAAGAAACCACACCCCTGCCTTTTTACTCTCTTGTTGAATAACAGAATGTCCAAATCACTATACTGCACGTCCAAGGAAACAAAAAGGAAGGAAAACATAATTTCTTGCAGTAAGTAGCTTACCATTTACTGGGGAAACCATGAGAAGTGTATTAGTATCTTAAAATACTAAATAAAAAGAGGTTCCTGTCAGAGGAAATCTAGTTAGTGTCGGAGGGGACAGAGGACAGAGACAGTGGCAGACAGTATTAGTGGTAAGTGAGAGAGGGGTGACTGGTGAGGAGAACCCCAAGAGGCTAGCACGCAGAGATCAGCCAGGAACTTCAGCGAGTAATAATCCTCCCTCTGGTCACTTAGCAACTTTCATTCTCTCTCTGAACTTGGTGCCCATTCAAAGTGTTTTGTGAAGACCAACATGGCACTTATAATGCACACAGATAAGAGAGAAAGTAGGTGGCTAAGTTCAAACTCAGAAGAAGAAAGTGTTCAAAGATTTTCAACATGCACTGTGGAAAGGGTATCCAGCCACTAGAACCTAGTATTACTCTGTCCATTCACAAGGTCTCAAGACAGCAGATAGGTCTTCTCCTTACACAAATGCCCAATTTTGTCTGAAGAGAACACACCATATCTTTAATTACTGGGCTCCAAGGAGTACAATACAACTCAGGTAAATATTCTGCTCTAAAAACCTAAAGCTCACTGTAGTGTACAGACTCGGAGTCCCAGAAAGAGATGGAGGATGTGAGGGGGAAGTAGCAGGCTTACAGTCTGGGCCATGTTTAAACGTGGGGTCAGCAGTTGCTCTGGGGGTATCTCTGTCACCTTACTTTATAAATCCTAGCTTCTTGACCCTCAGTTACTTTTCCTATAATGGAGTACAACAATCCTTGCAGAAGTTTGTTCTCATGAAGTGTACGTGAGTGATCCTTCACAGGACTGTGTTAGGAAAACAGTAAATACTCGGCACCTCCCAGCCCCTGCTCTGTAATCCTCAAAGCTAACAGATCCATTCTGAACTGTTCTTCCTAGCCCATCCCTTGTTTCCACACCACACACACAGCCTTTGATGCCGTGGTGTACAAATGGCATAAGCAGGGCATTTCTTATGTCTGACCTGAAGAGCTGAACTTTCCCTCAACCTTTATTTTCAATAAATAGCACTGGAATATTTTGATACATATTCAATAACTATCTTCATCTTGGCATTTATCTGGCAGCAGGAGACCATTATCTTGTGATAAATAGTTTTATTCCATTGACATTTCCATGTCTGTAAAATGAACAAGATTTATTCATCCAATTAACATTTGAATGTCATGTTTAGCTACAAGTTGAAAACAAGCTGCCTTCAATATCTGTGTTATATTGTTTTCTGAACACATTTACAGAGTAGGCCAAACTCTGCTCTGAAGATAACCACTACACATCTTCAAAACATGTGTGTGTTGATTCTAAAGAGGTAAATACGACCCGAAGTACCGCAGCATTGGAGAGCAAGTTCACCAATCAAATTACAAAAGATGACATGCTTCCAAATAATGTTCATGTATCAATATTAGAAGGAATTAGTAGTAGGATAATAAAATAAGCTCTAATAGGGTTACTAATTTCAGAAATAAGGTGGCTAACACCTTGGGTGATACAAATCTTCAAGATTATGCTGCCAGTTCCTACTGGTGATGCAATCAAAGGCCAGGCTTCAGGACTCATAGTCCGGCTCTCTTCTTGAGCCATGCATCCTTTGGAGGCAGAGACGCTGCAAATCCTTTATTTATATGCATTAAAAATGCTAAGTAAACAATACCTTCCTTATCTCTAAACTTCTCAGCCCAGGAGAGGAAAGCTGGATTTAATATCTACTAATAAATAATAATTTAAATTTTATTCCTCAAATAGTTAATAACCTAAGCCTGATTTGCTTATTGCCGCTGTCAAGAGCCTGCCTACTCACTTGGCCGGAAGTGTTCATACAAGAGTAGTAATGAGCAGCCTTGCAACAATATTACAGGAAATATTACAGGATTTCTAAAATTTGATTCTAGAATCGAGAGCTAGTGCTTACATTTTCATACCACATCAAATCTAGAAACTGAAAAGGAAAACTTGGAATACAGGGATTAAAAGGCTACAGTCAAGCAATCAGAAAGGTTAACGATGAGTTCAAAACAAACAAATAAGGTGTGCTTTTACTTATCTCGAAAGTTCATGCTATTAAAACGAGGAACAACTTCTACGGTTTCAGAGACAGGAAGCTGAGGAGCCAGAGGGGATGACTGACAGCAGATCAGTGTCGTCCAGACACAGCAAGACTGGTCCACATATGAACTCACAGAGACTGCACAGGCTTGAGCCAGATGGGTTCCCAGCATGAGACGGGGAAGTGGACACGCTCTCCCACCCATACCAAGACTCCATCTCCAACCGACAACTGCTCACAAAGGAAAAATTAATTTCTCTCCCAGAGTTGTCCTGGGTATACAAATCACACTTAAGGCCCCATAACCAGCAGTGACGGCCACAAAACGGGCTCAATGGTGTTTCTGTGGATGGTTTTTTGTTTTTGGTTTGTTTTGGTCTCATGTCACTCTGTGCAATTTTTTTTACTTTACGGTCTTTTGCTTATCTATTAGGTTCCAATTTTTTTTTGTTTTTATGTTTTGTGTTTCTTATGCTTTTTTGTTTCTTGTTTTTTTATTTTTAAATTTTCCTATTTGTTTTCTAAAGACAGAGAGAGAAAGAAAGTATAGAGTTGGATGAGTGGGGAGGAAGGGAGGATCTGGAAGGAGATGGGGGAGGAGAAACCACAATCAAAATGTATTGTATGATTTTTAATAAAGGCAAAGAAAGAGAGAAAAAAGATTTTCTATGGTTTTAGCTTTTGCAGCTTTTTAAAAAGACAGTAAATACTGTGTTGGTAGTGTGCAAGCTCTTTTTATGACATTTAATAGAAACAGTGATTAGTACTAACATATTTCTCTACATCCTTGATATTAACTTCATTCACAAATTACAGAATGACTATAGCACTGGTACAACATACGGTTAGCATGTACAAGGAGCTGGGTTCTAACCCCCATACTGATACACCACCAAATGTTTTCTCTATTTCCCACATAGTGAGAAAAACCAGAAACCCAACATTCCACATCTATCTCTTTCTCAGCTATTAGTCTCATAATAAAACTATGGTCTGTCCCACAATTCTAAACTTCCTACTGTATGTGCTTGCCTTTACATTGTGCTATGCTAGAGTTTAACTTCAAGCTTCCAACAATGGCCTTTGTTACTCCTCCAAGCTCTAGTCTAGTCTATTTACTCCCATAAATTTCAAATACAATTTATGCATTTTGTATTGAACCACCTGTAGTTTTCCTCTCCACACAGTTAAATCCAAACGAAAGGGTCTTGCAGCCCCTTCTGACCAGCCTATCTGTCCACTGTCCTTCTGTTCTATCACCTCAGTGTCTCTGTCCTCCTGTCCTATCTCCCACTGTCCTCCTGTCCTATCTCCCACTGTCCTCCTGTCCTATCTCCCACTGTCCTCCTGTCCCATCTCCCACCATCCTCCTGTCCTATCTCCCACTGTCCTCCTGTCCCATCTCCCACCATCCTCCTGTCCTATCTCCCACTGTCCTCCTGTCCTATCTCCCACTGTCCTTCTGTCCTATCTCCCACTGTCCTCCTGTCCTATTTCCCACTGTCCTCCTGTCCTATCTCCCACTGTCCTCCTGTCCTATCTCCCACTGTCCTTCTGTCCTATCTCCCACTGTCCTCCTGTCCTATCTCCCACGGTCCTCCTGTCCTATCTCCCACTGTCCTTCTGTCCTATCTCCCACTGTCCTCCTGTCCCATCTCCCACTGTCCTCCTGTCCTATCTCCCACTGTCCTCCTGTCCTATCTCCCACTGTCCTCCTGTCCTATCTCCCACCGTCCTCCTGTCCCATCTCCCCACTGTCCTCCTGTCCCATCTCCCACCATCCTCCTGTCCTATCTCCCACTGTCCTCCTGTCCTATCTCCTACTGTCCTCCTGTCCTATCTCCTACTGTCCTCCTGTCCTATCTCCCACTGTCCTTCTGTCCTATCTCCCACTGTCCTCCTGTCCTATCTCCTACTGTCCTCCTGTCCCATCTCCCACCATCCTCCTGTCCTATCTCCCACTGTCCTCCTGCCCTATCTCCTACTGTCCTCCTGTCCTATCTCCTACTGTCCTCCTGTCCTATCTCCCACTGTCCTTCTGTCCTATCTCCCACTGTCCTCCTGTCCTATCTCCTACTGTCCTCCTGTCCCATCTCCCACCATCCTCCTGTCCTATCTCCC